TGCTTGAGGATCTCGTTCTTAACTTATTAATCCCACTCAATTCGTGTCAATATTTTTTCTACCTTCTTAGAGCATTATCAATGCTTACACCAAATTTGGTGTAAAAATTGGAGATGCTCTAAGCACCAAATTTTACGTCTAAAAGGATATAGATGTACCATTGGAGATAGTCTTACACCAAATTTGGTGTAAATAATGTTGCACCAATTAAATTTATTACATCAAATTTGATGTACCATTGGAGATAATCTTACACTGCATATACGTAAATGTACAGTATGTATATGGTAATTAGGATTGTACTTTTTAACAAAATGAATAGAGAAAATATATGTACGTACCATGGTAATTAGTCCGGTATAGGTCAAGTCCTGCACATGAATACATCGAACATAATTATAAATCTTGGCTCGGCCATATTGCCCACAAGCTCATGGCTCGTTTGGAATGCTAGGCTCACCCCTTTATTTTAGATAGAGCCCCTTCCTTTATTCGGGTTTGGGAACGTCTACTTAAATTTCGAGTAAGCGGAGTTAAAAATTGTACACGAACTTGTTGCGTATACAATTTTTTTTTTTAAAAAGTAAAAAATAGTATTATAAAATGACAAATTCTATTAATATAGTTAAATTAAATATCACTTGCCTGCTGACATGTGATTTCAGCATATTTATCTTACAGTCGGAAATGAGAATCTTGTTAATCCTTCACGCCTATTAATGTTTTCAAAATATCTTCTTTTATTCGGCTCCTAACCTCAGATAGAACCCTCTTACCTACACTAAAAGCAGACTCCGAAGCTACAATACTAATCAGATGTATTAATAAGTCATTTGCAATCGCATAAACCATGGGCCATCGTCGTTGATACTTTCGTCAGAAGTTATCTACTGAACTTTTTTTAATTGATGCATTACTAGGCATATTATGATTAAAGTAATCAAGTAATTCAGCAGGCAATACATTTGGACTTGCGTCTGATATCAGATTACATACGGTAGATATACTACTACTCGAAGAACCTATTGCATCATATCTATATGTATTAATGCCTTTAAATAAATTTAATATTTCAACTTCGTCTTTTTCAGTATTAGCGGGAGGAGTAGGTGCAGAAGGTGCCCGACTAATATTTACACCCATTTGTTTTGCATATAATTCATACATTTCACATAAAGTTTGTTCTAAATTTCTATAACTGATATATGTGTTAAATGTTAAAGATTTTGAAATCTGGTCAATTATATATTTAGTACCTGATAAATTGTATCGGGGGTTCTATCATGCATTCTAAAGGAAATAACATAGACAAGTCTCTCCAATATTTTCTAAACTTTAATTCTATAGAATATATAATTTCACTAAATCGTGGTCATTTTTGTATTTATAAAAAGTCATTGCAATGATATAAAGGCGTTAAAGCACCAATCAACTAGGGGGATGATACACTTCAGATAAAATTTTGTAAAGTCATAAAAATTTGTCAAAATATGTTTAATTTTAAAGCTTAAAGCCAATCAGATTCATTCAAAAATAGTGTCATCGTCGTTTCTAATATGCCTATTATTATAAAATTCAGTTATTAAATGTTAAAATCCTTTGCATAATTTTAATAATAAGTAAGCAAAGTTCCATCTATGTCCTACGTCACTAACCAATATTTTCGTATTTGTCACTCCAAATTCGGCACAAAATTCCTCGAAAGCTTGTTTTCAATTAGGTGAAATCGTGATATATATTAATGCGCATCCCTAATTATCTTACACAATTAAATTAAAAATATGATACAAACCACGAATATGAAATAAATAACCACCGAAGACGTTATTGAACATGGCACTAGACTAAAATATTATCATACAAACTAACATCCTTAAAAAGTAAATAGACATTTTTCTACATATAAAATACATGAGTAGAGTAGGAACTTTATTTGTGATCGCCATACTTGAGCTGTCGGCATATTTCGTCTTATTTATAATGAATGAAGTACCATGATAAAAAAAAAAAAAAAATACCTTCACCACTCACCAATATATAAATATTTCTAATAAAGACGTGATATTTTGGTCAATGTTGGATAGACAAGTTAGCTCCCATTAGGGACATTTTAGAGAAATATTTCTAGGTAGTCGAAATAAAGTAGAAATAAAATAATAATTTTTTAAAATGCTCATAATGACTAGACTAGGAAAGGAGAATTACATTTAGGCGCTTTCACACTTGGGGCACAGCTCACTGCAGGTTAGGTGCATTAGGATACTTCCTGCCACGAAAAGATAAGTTATNACATTTAG